GTGATAAACCCTTAATCATTGATTTATCAGAGATCCACCTGTAAATCATTTAACTTATATATCCTGCATAAAGCCCAAGGGGTGGACAAGTAATGTCTGACTCGGAGTAGGGGAATAAGCTTATAACAGGACATGAAATAACATTTGTTGGCATTTCAAATGAGCTGAATTAGATAAAGATGGGCTTATTTAATACCAGGCAGGGGCTAATCCTGAGATAAATTTTGTGAAGGAACTAGATTATGATATGCAGCTAATTTGTTTTGTCAAGTCTTCAGATTGATTGATGATTTTCTCTGAATTGAATTGTATGAATCAAAATTGAATCTGGTATTTGGATTTTCCCCACAGTGCTACATGCTCACCAGTTGTTACAGAATGAATTCGCCACTAGCCTAATATCAGCAAAGCTTGGTGATGACCCTAATGTATACTATATAGTGGGTACTGCCCTTGTACATCCAGAGGAGGCGGAGCCTAAACAAGGGAGGATAATAATATTTCATTACAATGAAGGTAAGTTTTTTAATGAATTCAGTTGTTTGCAAACACTAACAAATGTTCTATGCCTCATGGCTGGCTTTTGTTGAAAATCAAATGAGGATCCTCTTGATATTCCATACCTGCGAGTAAACTGCATCTTTTTATAGTTGCACAGGTATTATTTATCATGGGAAAGACCACCATATTGTATATTGTTTTGTATTTTCTCTTAATAACAGCTATAGGTATTATCACTCCCAGCTCATGGTTTATTGAACATTTCTTATCAGATAAATACAGATGTTTATGATGGAAAGTTTGTTTTTGAACCTGCACCTAATTACGCTAAGCTACGCATGTTTCTGCTGAAAATATTCATGGAATCGTTTTTTCAGTCACCTTAGCAGTGATGTAAAGATGATATGATTTGTTTTGGCATTTATAATACTACAATAATAGGAGAAAAAGAAATTTACTTTCATTGAGGCAGTGTTTTAAGAAATATAAACACTGAGAAAAAGTTCTTCAGGTTAATCATGATGGCAATTTATTTTCATCCAGTATTTAAACACTAAATACCACACACAATTTGAAAGCTGTAAATTCATCACTACACAACTCAATGTTTTCCTCAGATAAACCCTGGACATTAACTTTCCAGTGTTATATGCAGACAGTTATTTTCTGTGATCTGTGATATCCTGACACCTGATATTGCCCTGAAGTCTCTATATGGTATTATTTAAGTACAGGGGATATTTGGTCCATAATCTGCACATTTGAATTTCTGCTGAATCCTAACGGCTCTATCCAGCCTTGAGGCCTAGTGACAACCCTAGTCCGCTGTTAGAGCTAAATGAATCCCTTCCTTAAAGCATTTGGAGTTTGGTATGCTGGTAGGCATGCATAAGTTTAAATCCTATTGGGGGCATCTTGTGTCACACCTTTCGGTAGTCATAAGAAAATTATACAAACATGTTTATTGCCAAATTTTAAGGCAGCTGTTGTGAAAATTATTATTTGGCATCAATTTATTTTTTGAATTTATATTACTGCTGTTTAACATATATATTTTAACAAACTGTTGACATATGTCAGAATTTATTCATTTGCATAATTTATGTACTTTATTACAAAGGTGTCATTGTCATTACAGGAAAATTAAACCAAGTGGCAGAAAAAGAAATCCGAGGTGCTGCATATACACTATTGGAGTTTAATGGCAAATTGTTAGCCAGCATTAATAGTACAGTAAGTAGCTTAGTTTTAGAAAGAACCATCATCAGAAAAAAAATACCTATGATGTAAGAGGGGTTACGAGGCACAGTAAGGGGGAATTTATCATTACAATGAACATAAATACACCATTAATCTCAAAATCTGTAAATGTTGAACGAAATTACGGGCCCTGATGTCATTTGATTAAGGCAAGGCCGTCATTGCTTGAAATATTTCATAAGCAAATAATTTGAAAATTTCAGTAAATCTTCTGGAGATGCAAAATAAATTTATTTGACAAAAATTCAGTTAATGAAATAATGAGTTAATAAATGGTCCTTTTTTCCATTGTATTGTTTTAATGGTTTTAATCTTTTGGTTTTTGCAGGTTAGATTATTTGAATGGACGACAGAGAAGGAGTTACGGCTAGAATGCAGTTACTTCAACAACATAGTGGCTCTCTACCTAAAAACAAAGGGTGATTTCATCCAAGTTGGAGATCTGATGAAGTCCATTACTCTTCTCTTGTATAAACCAATGGAAGGAACATTTGAAGAGGTGAAATAATCATGTCTACTGTATAGCAAATAATTTTCAGGATTTGTGATTGTGTAAGCAATGTTCATGCTGTGAAATTGGCAGACTTCCAATAGTGCTATATGTCTAAATGAGATACATTCAGATATTAAAGAGCTGTCCCAGTAAAAGAATCTATCTGACACCAGGTATCCAACATGACCAGTTGTACAAATGGTTATGTGTTGCAAGGAAAATACAATAAGGATTATATACATCAGGATCAGTTAGGAAGTCTCTGTACAAAACTACTCGGCATTAAAGGTTTCTATCTTTTGTTCAGTCGTGAACCCCTGACATCAGAATCAGATTGACTTCATTCGCGAATGAAGTCAGAGACTTCCTAATTGATCCTGATGTATATAATCCTTATTGTATTTTCCTTGCAACATAACCATTTGTACAACTGGTCATTTTGGATACCTGGTGTCAGATAGATTCTAGCACCAAAATCATTATTTTAGAGTTAATTTTGTCAATTCCATATGTTATAAGAGATACAAGAAAAAGAGGGATCATAAACCTGTTGATAATTGCTAAAGATTGATAAAGATTGATCTTTGGGATATATTCTAGAACATCAAAATCTCAGCTTCTAGATTGGTTGGGCTTGGGTTTGTTTTGTTTGTGCTTTACGTCCTTTTAACAGCTGTGGTCATTTAAGGACGTGTCGGGTGGTGGTGGTGGTGGTGGTGGTGGTGGTGGTGGTGATGGTGG